TTTGGGCTGCCATGTCAGAAAGGGGAACTTTTGCATTTTAACATCAAATTTTCTCTATTTCTAGATTCTCGAACACATGAGTTATGGCTATATAAACACTCAACCCTCTCATTTTTTTTTTATTCTTGCTCCAAGAAAACCCTTTAACACTCCCCCCCCCCCCCCCCTTCTTCTTCTTTTGATCGTCGTCAACAAACAACCTCAAACCCTTCAAATTTCCATCATTAATCTTTCTCTAAAGTTCTCATTCTCAAGCTAGATGGAAGGAGTCTAGGATCCATCACGGAGTGATCTTGGAAGTAAAGAGAGGGCCTTTGAGCTCTATTTAGGTATAATTCTCATTTGTTTTCTTGTCATGATAAGTATCTTGAGCTCACATCTGAAAATATCAAAGTTTAGTGCTAGACTGGTCATACAAACATCAATTCTTCGAAAAATATATTTGCATGCAGTACTTGCATGTAGTACTTGCATGGTGAATTTATGCTTGCATGCCAGTATGAGTGCTAATGTTTCATCCTTTGTTCTTGACTTTCAATAAAAAACATGATCTTGCATGAATGTTGATTCCAAATTGTAGGAAAGATGGTTTTTGACTCTATTTGTGGTTAGAAAAGTATCCTTGCATGTATACATGTCTCGCATGTTGATGTTTGAACTCTAATCTCGTGCAGAAAACATACTGCAGGACACCCTATTGGCATTTTTACCATAACTCACTACAGAAGTCCAATTCCAGTAATTCTTCCTGTCTTAGAAATTAGACTCACATATCTTTCATTTGAGTCTAATTTTATCCACTTATAAGATTAATGACTGGTTCGAACTGTGATTTAATTCAATATATGTGCACAGGATATGCAGTCTGCCATTCTTCGATGTTTTGATGTATCTCAAATTTTGTTCGTGACTGAGTAAAGAAAATTTTATAATTTGAAACTATGTTTATTAAAGAACCTACAGCATAATTATGGGTATAAATTGATAATGGTTGGCACCTGAAAGAATCAGATAGAATTATAGGTGTTTTCTGCACTGGCACAAGTCCGAAATCCTGACCCTTTGCATTGTAAAGAGTATAACTCCCTCTAAGAAGCTTGCATGCAGAAAATTCTTCTTGTTTCTACAATTAGACTTGTATAGGAATAATTTAAACTTTGTTTCACTAATTTTGGATCCTCAATCATGCACTTGAATATGCTAAAATAGTCTGCAGTTATAGTTTGTACATGTCATGCATGTTCCGAATATAACTTGAGCTATATGTAATAATTTTGCAAAGTACCTATTGTCATGAAAACTAGACACATGCAGAAATTATATGACACTGGTTTCATAAATTTTGGACATCAGTTGCTCCCCCATCCATCTCAATCTGCAACATGAACACTGCCATTCACTGTTTGTACCTATCATAAGTGTTCAGTATTACTTTCTCAAGCATAACATGTAGTTATAAGCTAGGAAAATAATCAAGACCTAGCTGATTAGAATCTTATATGGGTATACATGTATGTGTATATAGAAGCAAGACCTTTAAATTCGTTCGTCGATACCGAGGAACCCGACACGAACGGTAGGTAATCATTCCCTTGTTTTCTCATACTACTGGATCTTTTTTCTATGCAACTTAACATTTCTTTACTCTCTCTCTATTTCTTGAGGACCGGTTGTTTCTTTCCTTGTAAATATTATGTATAGGTAACCTTTCATTATTCCATCTCAATTCTTTGAAAATTCAATTGATTACTTTTTTGAAATTCCTATGAGTTGATATCCAATGCTCTGTTGTTTATCTTATTGGTTTATAAATATTCCTATTCGAATCACTTCATGTGTGGGCTATTTGTTAATTGCTTGCTTCGTATGGATACCATGGTGTTTTCCTTATTATGTTTTTGTAAAAAAAACCATGGTGTTGCGTTTTTACCTTAACATATTTTTAAAACATCATATTAAGTATTTTTGGTCAACACTAGTTTGACCCATTATAACATTAATATTAAACATATTATTAATATATATTATATATTAATTATCATAAAATATATTTTATATAAAATATTATAATATTTAGTTTACATTATTATAGTATTATAAGTATTAAATGTAATGCAATATAATATTGTATAATGTATTATAATATTATATTGTACTTTAATGAGTTATATTATATTATAATTATTATTATATTATAGTCATTACATATTATTTTTAAATAATTATATATTTAACTATTTTGGTATATCAATTTGTTATTATTGTATATTATATTAATATTTTTATAATAATATTGTTTTATTATTAATATAATATTATACTATTATTAATATAATATAATATAATATTATACTATCTATTCATATAATATAATATTATTAATAATTTTAATATTATGTATTACTAGTATGTTATTAATAAATTAATATATTATAAATATTTTAATATTTTATAATATATTATAGTTTTAATATGTTAAGAGTTTATTAATAGTACTTTAATTAATATATTAGTATTTATGATATAATAAATATTATATATTATGAATATATTATTTTACGTTAAACTTTGTTAGCAACAAATTATTTATTATTAAAATTATTTTCTTATTAATATATTAATATTGTATATATTATAATTGCATTACTATACAATATGTTATTAAATAATATTATTATATTGTTATGTTATTATTAAATATGTTACTATTATATAATATTTATATATTATTTTATTTATAAAAGTTAATAATATTATACGGATTATACTATGTATAGTATTATTATTATATTATTATTATATTATTATTTATTATAATTAACTTTATTATTTTTTATTAGTTTATTTATATTTTATTACTATTTATTTATTATATAATACATTATTAACATATTAAATATTGGTATTTAATATGTTATTATATTGTTATATAAGATATTTTATTTATTATATTTTTATATTATTTAATAAATATTATTAATATTAAATTAACTATAATATAGTATAGTATAATATAATAAGCATGTTGATAATAACTCTATATTAATTACATTTAATATGTTATGGTAGATATTATATTAACACATTCTCAAACTAAAAACCAAAACACCAAACTTAAAACACCTAAAAGGTGCTTTGAAATAAGTGTTGTGTTTTTGGTTTGAGGATGATTTAGTTCAAAAAACACCATGGTTTCCAAACGCATGGTGTTTTGTTTTTGGCAAAAACACCATGGAAACAAATAAAACACCATAGTATCCAAACGTAGGCTTTAACTATTGCTATAGTATTGTTTATTCATTTCAGTATTATATCATTGAGATTCCATGAATGATTATATTGTGCTAATTCGACTTGCTTTGAAGACTTCATTATTAAGAATGATAGTATTCTTTCATTTGATAATCTAGTGATAGTATTCTTTCATTTGATAATCTAGTCATACTCTACATTCATTGATTATGCCCTGTGTGAAGTTTCACAGGTGAACGGTGAATTAAAGCGAGTCCCAGTGGGGACATGCCCTGTGTGAGGACGCTCATCGTTGGGTGTATAAACAAAAGCATGTGGTGTTTATTGATATATCCCATGATTGAGAAAGTTCGGAATCCTAAATATTAGAGCTTGATCTATCATACTAACATCTATTATTTCATTTCGATCAATGATCAGGATATGAGTATTGGCAGCTTATTGCTAAGATCTATTTGTTCAGTTCCAAATGTCTATGTATATTCCTTTCTTTTATCGCCTTATGATTGTACCCGAGATTCTTATGGTTGTCTATTGAGCCTTAGGCTCACCCCTATTGTTTCTGCAACTATTCGCAGGTCGTACAGTCGAAGGGGCAAGGGGATCACAGACCCCGACATAGAAGATTAGCCCCGGTTAGAAATCATAGGAGTTAAATTGTATTTACTTCTATAGTACTTTTGAGTTGTGGACATGTACTAATATGTATTGGAGGTGTTATCAGACTAGTGATGTATTATCGTTCCCTTTAGCTTTTTTTGCTACTCTAGTATTCTGTGAACTCTGTTATCAACCATGTGATTTTTAGTGTTGTATATGTATTTCTGCTGCTTTATTTCCACTCTTCGGTATTATTGTATATATATAGGAGTCTATATAAAAATTGAGTAGGTTGACTCTCCTTATTATGATCAAGTCATGCCCAATTTTTATGTATCTCCTGGGTATCTCCTGGGTCCCGCCTCGATATGACTTGAAGGGGGCGTAACAATAATTGTGATTTTGTGTTTGAAAATACTGGATAATTCTATTTATTAAAGTCATTGTTAATTGTTTGTATTTATAATGTATTTAAATAATTAATAAACCAGATAACCTAAGTTATACATTACGTTTTTATCGTTTTTTCTATTAACATGAGGTAGAGTTTTACATTCTACGTTATGGCAATTTTCAACATTGGTTAGAAGTATATTTGTATTTAAAATTAGATTAGAGATGAGATTCTAACCTATAAATGGGTTATTATTTTCACTGTAGAGACCATGAAAATCAAAATAAATAAAAGATAGATTGAAGTGCGTGATTTTTCTAAGGCATGAAGCCATTGTGTTAAGCATCTGTGTGTGAAATTGGCTTAACTAAAATCTAGCCCAATTATATCGATCTTTTACATTTCTTTTGTTTTTTATTCAATAAAAACGGGAGGAGTACTGCTCTCCCGAGGTTACTGTTCACTAGCTGTTCATCCAATATTTTTTGGTAAAGTTTCAGACTACCGTCAATTCTAGGTTCATCTTTTCCATTTTGTACCATTTAGCCAAGTTGATAATAAAAGCTTTTTTATTCAGACTTCAGGCATTTTTCCAACACATAATATTAAGAGCCACTCTCTTTTCCAATTTCACACAGGGCAGACTCTACTAATATTACACACATTATTTAACTAGTTGTTGACTATTCTAAAAAAATATCTAGTTATCCTGAATAACAATATCTGTTTTAAGTCATAAATAACATTAGAATACCTGTACTTAGCAGTGACAGACAATTTTTGACAGCGATTCAACTTCTTTGAATTTTGATGCACTCCCAATCGACACGGATTACCACCAAACGCTTTGAGTTTCTCATATTGGAGGCTAGAAATCTGAAGTTGAGTTCCACCTAACAAGAGAGGAAATAATATAAATGTCATCCACATCAAATGAGACAATGTGTGAGAACACTATGAATATGATTGGATGCACAAAGATATAATTTTAGGGCAAATTTCAGAAAACTACCGTGAACAATAGAGGTTATGTATACAACCATAAAATATTTTTACTAGAAAAAATACCACAAACTTCCAAATCATCAGAAAATACCACTATCCAAAAGTTATATGGTAGTTTCAAGATAATACTTGAAAATCCATGGTAGCAATTATCTACGATAATAAAACAAGTTTCATGATAGTTTAGTGACTTTATTTGAAAATTCATGGTAGTTTTGTAAAACAAAAATAAAAGTTCATGTTATAATTTCATGTGTAGTTTTCTACAAGTTTCTAGAATTTTTCAGTTGATTCTGAATTTTGTGATATTCTCCATAAATAGAGTTAATGGTAACAACAACATATAATAAAACCTACCTATCATTTCTGCTATCCAAGTATTTTCTTTTTTTAAATTATTTATGAAATCTAAGAATCTTACCTTTCCATGTGATGCAATATGACAACCTCTAAGATATGATTTGATTCAATTCGCATAACTAGTTAGGATACTTTGTTTTAGCTTTTTTCTAGTTAGGATAATGTAGTTGATATTTTAGGTTTGATTTTTCATTATGAAGTTTTTTTAAGATTTTAGCTAAGGAGGAATTGTTTCTATCTTTTGAAATTAAGTTTCTTTACAAATAAGTGTAATTATTACTTTCTGAGAACAGACATTGATTAATGAAAATTTGAGTTTCGAGAAAACCTCCCCTTAAAGCATGTAAGTTGCTATAGGTGAAGCCATTAGGTATGTGATTTAACTAGGGTGTGATCGATAACCTGTTACTGTTCATCCACACAAGAAAGAAAATTTGAGTTTTGAGAAAACCTCCCCTTAAAGCATGTAAGTTGCTACAGGTGAAGCCATTAGGTATGTGATTTAACTAGGGTGTGATCGATAACCCGTTACTGTTCATCCACACAAGAGTGACCTTTTTAATTCTTCATGTGCCATATGCGACCGCCAACACTCTCATTGACTTGTTCGCCTATGGTGCCATAAATCCTCATTGTTGTCTTCTTCCAATCACCACTCAAGAAAATCTTGTTTAAACTTGATGAGATAAATAAAATTTTAAATAGTTTGGCTACGAAGAAAACTCCCATTAAGAAATGTCATGTGAGACGGAACTTGAGCCAAACGCAGAAGAAAATCAAGTCATACAGCCTAAACTGAAGCCCGAACTAGAAATAGAGCAAGAGGTAGATCCCGAGCAAAACTTAAAGTTAGAACTTGAGCCCGAGGTAGAAATCATAGCTCAAAACCAGATTGGAGTTCACTTTGGTTAACTTCAAGTTCACTACCTATCAAAAAATAAGCTATTATTGTCCAATAGCGAACAATAACCTGTTATTGTTCATCCACATGAACAATAACCCTTTTTATTGTTCACGTGCAATCTGCGGCCGCCAACATCCTCGATGAGATAGTCCCCTTAGTTGCCAATCATCGTCATTGCTGTCTTCTTCTTCCTATCACTACTCCAAGCATGAAGACACTCCTGTTCCGCATGGTTGTGTCTCTAATATTTGTAAGGCCGGAAATGGATCGAATCAAATTTTAAGGTGTTCGTATATATATTCGCTTAAAGTCTTAAAATCCAAATATTATTCTTCAATCTTCTTTGAATTTGAATTTGATCATGAATATTTGTCAAATACTAATATAACTATTTGATTTAATATACTATAATTTATGAATATAAATTATTTGATTAAGAAGATATTCTTATTTGGTTAAAGAAATAGTTAAATCTGATGAAATTTTTGATTTTTAAAATTCAGAATTTAAAATTAATCATTTATAATTATGGTGTAACTATTAACCTTGTTTTTCAATTTATGATCTTAAAAATCGAAGTAAGTCTCTCAAGTTAAGAATAGAGTCTATCGTAAGAAAATGTAAAAGAGATAAAAACATATCACGTGTACTTAATAAATTGTAATTGATTAAACTTTAGACTAATATTTGATAAGGAAGCAAATCGAATATGTGAATGCTGATATTTGATTCATTTAATATACAAATACTAGAATGTAATTGATTTGTGTACAGATCTTGCAAATCGAATTTGAACAAGCAATTAGACAATACCAAACTATTTGATACTTATTCAATCAACCTCCACCCTAATCTTTTGTTCATCACAAATTTACCTTATTCTTGCAAAATAGCAAAACATGCTCAAGAATTGTTGTTGTTGCAATGCTTGCAGTCTCTACAAAATCTAGTAAAATACACATTCTTCTTATGGTAAATGAAAAATATAAAAATGTGTGTGCATGTCCATTTTCACAAGATCGATACCATATCAGTAACTAGCAAACACCAAGATAAGGCAGCCAAGTAGGAACGAAAATTCTAATGAGCTTAGCCATGCCAAATCAACGTCACCTTTCTATAAACCTCCTTTGACGAATGTTTCATGGAAGTGCTTTTTATGCTACTTTGTAAATATGGCACACCATAATAACTATTGTTTGGACTAGGGAGTTTGATAAAAAGCTCCCTTACAACTAACTTGTCGAATCTCAATGGTTCAAAATGACTGGATTTCCAATTTTCCATAACAAAATTTAGTAAGAAATTGAATCAGCTTTGCCCTTGACGTGATTGTTTTCAAGTTTGGTGTATAATTTTAGTAACTTGAAAAATGAAATATTTGATTTCAACTAATTATTTTTCATATATCCAACTTTGTTTCTCAGTAAGAAATATCCTGCATTGATGATATCAATTTAATAATGTTACCAATTGCATAGAACCATTTTGCCATTTGCAACGCTATGTAACCTTACCGGTGCTTCTTTTAACTTCACCATTATTTAGTTCAAATCCCTTAGATAAGCACAAATAATTGCTGTCAAATTATTCAGTAAGAATCTTTAGCAAAACTTGTGAGCCTTAGAATGTTAGATTTCAGGACTAAAATGGTTTGGCATAGATCTATTGAAAAGTAGAAAATATAAAAGAGAAGAAAACTAATTAAGGATACATGGAAAAGAGATAGAAGTACAAATTTAATTTAATAGTGTGTTTGGATGAAGGGTAGGCGAGGGTAGGGGAAGATAATTTAGAAGTTCACTTTGTTTGGGATTTTTTTTAGAGGGGTAATACAAGGAAGGAAGGGAAAATTCACATAAAAATATGGTCATTTTATTTGTAGAGGAGGGAATGAGAGGGGAAATAGTTATAAAAGGTTTGATCGTTTATCACTATGAATCAACAATTGAGATTTAATTATAATACATTTTTTCCCTTTGCTTCCCTTAGTTAAAATTCCCAAACATGATAAAACAATTTCCCTCCATTCCCTTCATTAGACTCTCAAACAAGATATTATATTATCCCTCCCCTTCTCTACCTTCCCCTTCCCAATCTTACCTTCCCTTCCCTTTCCCTAGTAAACTCCCAAACACACTACTTAAAATGAAATGCTCCACACGATTCCAAGATAAAGGAGAAATAGCTAGATTTTTCAACTCGCAAATAGTTAGACTACAGTATCCAAACTATTTCCCCGAACACTAGAAAAAATTCTCAAAAATCATTACCGTCTAGGTCAGTAACTTAAACAAGCTACGAAGCCAAATGCCTAGTAGCAATCAAAATGGAAGTCTTTGCAGTCATGTTTTCTTTTCCCAATCAAAAATCTCTCATTTTTTGAACTGTTACCAGCGTTCAAAGTTAATCTAACAAATTCAGCAGATCCCAATGAGTTAGACTAGTTAAGCAGTTAAATTTTAAAAAAACGAAATAATAAAAAATTTCACTTTCGATAATTCACGAATTAACCCAATGGAACGAGGAAGAAATCCTTAAAGAAACAGAATAAAAGACTGAGGAACTGAATCGAAACGATAAGTTGTTCATTTTAGGGTTAATCCGATCGCTAAACCGAAGAATCCCGAGCTTTGATTTCGCATCAGCTTTAATCTAAAATTAAGACGAACAAAAAAAGAAAAATTTGAGAGAGAAGCTCACAGGATGCGAAAAGAGTAGCAGAAGAGGCGGCCATGACGATCGATGAACCCCGAAGGAAGCGAAAAAAAATGCGATTTTATTTTAAGACGCTCGGCGTCGGCCTCATATATCTTCCCGTTCCATATTTGCCCTCGGGATTGAGCTTAACTCTGGAACTCGTGGCACGACAGATGGAAAATAAGGTCGGCTATCAGGGGTAACTAGGGAGTAAGATGGCTCTTTGGTTTGTTGCGGTGAATCTTATGCCGATTTAACTTGGGTAACTAACTCACTATGCCGATTTAACTTGGTGGGTTTCACCGCCTCTGCCGTCCGGTTTTCCGTGAGTACAAAGGAATTGAATAATGAATGAATGGCTAAATAGTAATTAGTTGTGTCAAGTTGCCAAATCTTATGAGGGCCTGTTTGTTTCAAATCCCAACTCTTTAAGAAAATAAATCTAGTAGTAAAAATTCGAAGAAATTTTCTAAATAAACCCAATTTAAATTTTATTCCCAAAATCGACCATATTTAAATTTTATTACAAAAATCGACACACTTTCTCGCCACGTCAGCATCGTAGCCAGAAAGTGGATCGATTTTTTTTAACCTAATTAGTTGGGGTTGGTAACCCCGACTATTTTGAAGCTCGCGGACAATTTGGCAACCTAATTAGTTGGGGTTTGAAACCCTGACTAATTTAACACCTTGGTCGGGGTTCCCAACCCCGACCATTTCTCTCTCTAGCTAAGCCCTACCAAAACCCCCAAACCCAAAACCGCCCACGTTGTCGCCGACCATCCACTTCTCTCCTCACCCCTCCTCCTCAACCGCCACTTCGCCTTGAAAACAGCCAAATCCAAAGGCAAGAAATCCACTGCCACCACCAACACCAACAACAAAAAGGGTAAAGAGAAGACATCCGTCGCCGATGACCCCCTCTCCTCCTCCGCCTTCGACAAACCCTTCGCTGACGACATAGACGACAAGTTCGAGCTTGCACGTGACCCTCTTCTGTCGACCTACGATCCCTCTCTCGATGTAGGGCCCAATGGTCGGCCTTTGTTCACGTTCTCTGATTCATTCGCTCCTCTGATTCATTCGCTCTCTCTGATTCATTCGCTCCTCTCTAGATGTTGTGAACATTTTGGATTTTTTTTTTCCTTTTTTGATGATTTTGTTGGGATTTGTTAGTTAGTTTGGAGGAGTGGAAGAGTATGTTGCTAGAGGGGCTGCCGCCGGGAATGATGAAGGAGTTTGAAATGGTCGGGGTTGGGAACCCTGACCATTTCGAATTAGGCATTTCGAAATGGTCGGGGTTCCTAACCCCAATAAATTAAAAATGTGCTAAATTAGTCGGGGTTTCGAACCCTGACTAATTAGGTTGCCAAATTGTCCGCGAGCTTCAAAATAGTCGGGGTTGCTAACCCCGACTAATTAGGATCGCGTTTAAAAAAAATCGACCCACTTTCTGGTCATAATGCTGACGTGGCGAGAAAGTGGGTTGATTTCTGTAATAAAGTTTGAATAGGGTCGTTTTTTTAGAATAAAATTTAAATTGGGCTTATTTAGAAAATTTCCTCGTAAAAATTCATTTCTATGTTTTTCCATGAGTTTCGAGGAAAAACTTTATTTTGTTTGTTTCACCCAAATAAAATGTGTTGGATATGATTTCCATGTCAATCCTCAGTTTAAATGCAAAAAATAAAAAATAAAAAATAAAGAAGAAGAGGAAGAAAGCAAATGTAGCTTACATGGGTTTACTGACCTTGTAGCCACCTAGGTAAGATTGCCATCCAAAAAACTCCTCATACAATCTCATAACTTTTCAAAACTAAGCAACGGTCATTTTTAGAGCTCCAACGTTCAAATGCCAGGAGTACAACATGGATCAGCCAAGGAGATAAGCAAATGAACATAAAACATGTGTATGAATATACTGAGTGCCTTCCCAATAGAGCAGTCATGAATCAATATAAGAAGCTAACATGCTAGCTTGATCCAACAAAAAATATAGAAATTGTTAATAATTTCAAGTGGTTCAAAGATGATAGAAATCTGAAGGGTCTCAACCATATGCAGTTAGATGTTCTTGCAACACTCTCATTCCATTGAAGCTCTACAAGAATGGAAAGAGTAAGGGAAAATATTTCTAGGGTTGTGCGACATTCCCAAATAGAAAATACAAATATTTCCGCTTGGCTCAAGATGAACAAAATGCAAAAACAGGATACAACATGGGTAATGAAGACGCTCACAAAAATAAGTTGGTCAAATCAAAGCAATTGAAGAAAGAACTGAAGCTTGCACATCACTAAATAGAAACGATGAAACTTGTTGTAATTTTTCTTGCGTTTTTTTTTTTGTGGTCATAATAGCAACACTTGTAGTTTGCATTTTGAAAATCAAATGAAGAACTTTCAATTGAATTAGAACTCTACAAATTTGTGATCACATAGTAAGTTAACTGATTTTGAATGATGAAAAATTAGAGAAAAAGATGGGCTCATTAGATTTGAAGAGATTAAAAAAAGAGGTTTAGAAAGCTATAAGTTATATCACCTGAAGCAATTAAAATAAAAAATATCATGAAAATCAAGTTTGTAAACTTATCATCATGGAAACCATCATAGAATTCATATATCAAAGAATACACAAATTTTTGAAGTAGATTTTAAAAAGAAAGTGTAAGAAATCAATAAAGATGGGCTTTGATTTCATTTCATCAAGGTATGCCACACCAGAGTATCTCTAGTAGCAATGTAGGCTGCAAAATATTGTCTCGCCTATATATGTGCAACAAGAAACATTGATTGCATATCTTAGAGCGCTTTTTTAGAATAATATCATCATCATAGCCTAATTAAAAAATAAACTCAAATAGAAAATCATGAACTTATCATGTGTATTGATCATTAGAATAACAACATATACATGCTCAAATAAGGAGCATTCTCTATTAAGATAGCCCAACCAATACATACCAAAGAATGTAGGTTGCTATCTTAAGTATAGGTTCATCAATCTTACCAAAAATGAGCACAATACAACTGTCTCTTGTAAGAGCCCTCACTTACAACATAAATTGGTTGTAAAAAGCACAAGCATGCAAGAAATAAGCCACATATATAAATACCATTGAGTATCAACCAAACTGTGATATAGAGCAACATTAATATAATTATCATGTAAATCTAATAATATACAGCAACATAAATATCATTCAAATGAGTCCAACAGATATCAATTGGCTCATATGCACATGAGTTCAACATTTAAGTATGCCACATCTAGAGCATCCACCATTTCTAATACTTATATTACATACCATCATCAACAGCAAAAATAAGCCTCATTTAAATCTGTTATGAGGCATGTCAAACTGTCACAAAAGAAATCACAGAAGTTAGCATCTCTGCAAACGTAGACATGCAATGGTTAGTAGTCTAAAGTATTCAGAAAGATAATGCCACCAACCAAAATATGAATTACTGTAAAAACACGCCCTTATTACAAAACAATCCACCTAAAGAAATATGAAAATACATAATCCAACAGAAATAGAAAGGAAGTACTGTAAAAATAAACTAAATCCATCAACTGACTAAGAGATAACTAAGCTTTGGCTTCTTTAGCTCTGTCTGCAAAACACTCCTGCTGAGGATACTCTGGCTCTGGCGTATTTCTAAGCTGGACCTATCCGTTCTCTAAATCTTACGTACAACCTGAGAGAACAGGGGTACGTCAGCGTGCATGGCACACAACAAGATCCCATAAGGGAGAAAAGAAACGGTCGAATGACCAATGCAAGAACAATAATAATAAATAGAAGCATGCAACTGGAATACTAAAAACTAGATGAAATCCACCAATAGTATATAATAATCAAAAGAATCCAAAAATCAACCAAGTAACAAAGTCATGCAACTAGTCATCCTATAATAGATCACTGGTTCATCCAAATAACAAGATCATACAACTAGATGAAATTAGTACTTAAAAATCTACAATACGAGACATAGTACGTCGGGCGAAATAATGCAAATAAGGAAATCCTCATGTATATACCATATGTCTTAAGTTGTAGATAATTAAATATTAATCCCGATCTATATATGAAAAGAATATAACTGGTCCGTATCTCATAAGAATCCATAATCATATAAGTAACGAGGTCATGTAACTAACCATCCTATAACAGGTTATTGGTCCATATCTCACATAGAGTCAACGTTCATATTATCGGATAACTGATTGTTCACAAATCCTCTACGTGCATCTAATACCACTACACGAATCTATCAGAGGACTACACACAATCTGATTTTGGCCTGGTCCGAACTCAAGCAAAACTCGGGTGACTACACAAATTCACTAACCAAAGTGACTATACGAATTCACTTTAGCCCAACAAACCAACCCCAGTGACTACTCGAATTCACTGGTGCGAGCTTGGAAGATACATCAACAGCCACATCCGATCACATGAATCAAAACTTTTCCACCCCAACTCTTCTTATTTTTCTAAGTCAACATACACATGTCTCTAGGTCTTGTACATGACACGCAACCCACCCCAACTCTTCTTATTTTTCTAAGTCAACATACACATGTCTCTAGGTCTTGTACATGACACGCAAGGCCACTAAAGTCATGGAACTACTAAAAGTCAACATACACATGTCTCTAGGTCTTGTACATGACACGCAAGGCCACTAAAGTCATGGAACTACTAACGGTTCTCAATCACAACAAGGAATAAATGCAACTGATCGTGAGAACTAATGTCATGGCATATCACAAATAATCAAAATTAAGAGTCATAAAATTATGAACAGCATCTATGTAATTCATAAAATAACCTTTTTCCAAAATAATTTCCTCTAAATTATTTTCTCATAGACTAATTCAACATAAACCCTTTTTCAAAATAACTCCTTTTTAGTTATTTATTATTATAACAATTCAAAATAATCCCTTATTCCAAAATAACTCTTTTAAATAATTCTTTAACTATTCATTTTAATATTCTCTCTTCCAAAATAAATTCTTTTCTCATTATAATAATTCTAAAAATAATCTTTAAATATAATAATCTATTAATTCAAATAATTTTTTTCTCTGA